TCCTTCCCAGAGCTTCTGCTGGGGCAAGGTGGGGGGGGGGAGCTGGCACAGAATCTGAGATGAAACCCAGAGCCTGCTCCCGTGACCCCTGGAAGGGAGCTGGTGCCTGAGTCCTGTTTGGTCACTGCTGCATCCCCAGTTCCTCACGGGCACCTTAGCAACTGGGTGCGTGAGTGAAAAATAGGATGGCCTCAAAGCACATCACTGACATTATATTCATGTCTACAACCTTCTTACGAGCTAGGAATAACAAATAATAAGGATGGTAATATAATCACAGTGGCTACCATTTCATGGAGGTCTCAGCCAAGTGCCTGCATCCGTTAGCCTCTGTAATTGTCACGAGGACCTTTAAGAAAGATTCTGTTACTCTTCGATTTACAGATGTGGAGACTAAGGAAAGGGATGTTAAATAAGCATCTGAAGGTAGCAGAGCCTGGTAAGGCCACAGGGAATCTCACACAGTCAGTGCTCTTTCTGTTCAATGGGCGTCCCTCCCTCCTCCCGCAGCTCCCCCTGCTGTGGGGAGCACCTGGTGCCCAAGCATTTGCCTCCTTTGTTAGGTCTCTAGGTTCCTGCTCAGATTCATGCCCCCTGATCCTTCCCTAGGCATCTCCCTCCCCTTCAGTCACCCACAGCCCTAGCCCCAGGCCACCCAAGCCAGTTCAAACAGAATTTCCAGAGAAAGGGGAGCCTGCAGAAGCAAAGCCTGGTGGAGGAAGCCTCCCTGAAGCCCCAGGCAGTGGTTCAACCAGTCAAACCGGAAAAATCACAGGGCAGCCTCCTTGGAACCCAGGTGGCCTTTAAAACAAAAAGATCAGAGACCATGTGACAATGTCTACTAAGGGATTGCAAGGATAGTAGGATAGGACGTGGTCTCCCTGCCTTGGCCAGCAGCACAGGTCACATGAGGCCCTTGCAGAAGTTGCCAGCTTGACTGCTTCAAACCACTCTCCACTTCGGAGAGGAAGATAGGAGCGGGTGTGGAGTTTGGTGTGGGGGCCCCAGGAGGAGTGTATGGCAGAGAGAACAGATCTGGAAGTCCCTTGTGTTGACAACTCTTGACTGGTCTCCCTGCTGCGGGTCTTAACTGCCGCTCCCAACCCGTACCCTAAGTGTCATTGTCACCATATCTATACCCCAGCTCAGAAAACTATCCCGCTGCAAAGGCCCAAGTCCCACCTCGTTAGCCAGGCCCTGGATGCCCTCTGCCCTCCTTCATCCATTAACTCAACAACATTTCTGAGACTTGAACCTGGCCCAACACTAGGACTATGAAAACATAAAGGGATAAGATTTGGTTTCATCCTCATGCACGTAGAATCTGGGAGACAGAGAGATGAACAGAGGAATGTTCTCACTCTTCCCCTAAAAACTCCCTTCTGTTCTGTAGCCAGAGTGCCCAGAATCCCATAAACACCCACTGAATTCCCACCTCAGTCGTCTCTGCTCTGTTATTCCATCTGCTCCTTCCCCTCCAGGAACTGAAAAGCAGCCCACACCTCCCCTCCTTCTAGAGCCTTCCCTGCTGCTTCTAGTAAGGGCGGGCGGGGGGGGGGGGGGGATGCTTCCCGTCTGGCCTCCTCTAGCACTTTGTCCCAGCTCTAGCTCTCACGGGCTTCTGCCCAGTCCCCGGCTGCCCCTGCACCCTCGTATCCTTGCTTAGCTGCTGATGACGCCTGCGAGAGCTTCGCTCACAGTAACAGTGATCATAATTGATCTCCCACATGTGAAGAGTGCTTCACTAAGTGCTTCCCCCATCTCCATCTCGTTGCTGAGGCCTTGGCTCTTCTCGCCTGTGTGCCACCTCCCTAACTAGGAAAAGGTGGACTGAATAGGTCTTGAAAATGCCTGGCACAGGGCTTTGTAGTGGATCCTTAATTAATTAAACAGGTGAGGAACCAGCAGAGGCCATTAAGGCCCTGGCTGGCTGCCCACCTGCACACAACCACCACCACGACCACCACCACCACCACCACCACCACTGTCCGGGTGAGCACAGCCTCATTGGAAAGGCTTGCTCGTGGCACAGATCTAGCTCATGGCCAGCCGCCCACCTGCTGACGAAAAGAGGGGCAGTGAGTAACTCAGCCTACCTTCAAGGTCTCCTCACTGCTCCCTGGCAGGCCCTTCTCTGGAATGTCACAGGCTCTCCGAGCATAAACAATAAATCACAAAAGTGCCAGCCTAGGTGCCATCATGACATGATCCAAGAATATGAACTCTGTTTTGGCAATAACTAGTGAAATGCCTTGTTTTCCCCATTTCACCCGAAGTTACTCCAGGAAAAGTGCCTAGAAAAATGTCCAGTGTGGTAAAGGAATGTATCTCAGACAAGGAGCAAATCGAGAGAGGTAAGGACGTGTGTTATTCATCGTGGAATCTCCAGGTCTCGGCACTGAGCCCAGCTACAGGACACGTGCATTTTTTTCTGAATGGATAAATTAATGAATATGGTTTGGTAGACCCCATTTTCTGGGCTCCTTGATTTGCCTCCTGGCCGCCCTTTCCAACTCCAAGGGAAACTTTCTGTATCACTGAAAGGAAAGCTTTTCTTGACCGTCGGTCCCTAAGTCGTAGTTATTGCTGAAAAACATGCCCAAGATGAGATAGACTCACATGTGCCTTAGGTCGCTTCAAACCAAACACATGTAAGGAACCCAGTGGGCAGATTTCAAAAGGCTACTGTGAAGAAAGACAGCTTTCTTTCTTTTCCATGGAATCCAAACTCCAAAACAGTCCTCTGTGTCCTGGGAAAAGGACCCAACCATCAGAAACGCAGGGAAAGAACCTGCTCGGGCTTCAGGTCAATATACCGAGAGCCCTGAGCGGATGGCATGGGGACTGTGCTATAGAGACACTTCCACTTCCTTTGCTAATTCTCTTCTACCTCTAAAGTGGTCGGCTCCAGGGGGACCCTGAGTAAGTCCCAGGGACCTGTGAGGGGAAAGTGCACTTTTGCCTCTCCAGCAGGAACAAAGGTGTCCAACAAGATGAGGTGGGACAGACATTAAGAAGGGCTGGTGATTAGCAAGGGACTTAAGGAAAACAGAAGCCTCAGAAGGGCCACCTTGAGATTTCAGAAACACAGGTTCCCCCACTTGTCTGTAGGAAAGGGGTAGGACACATCTTCTAGGGAAGACTGGCTCCCGTAACAACACTGAGCAGGAGCCCAAGAGCTTCTGAAATGAGTTAGATGAATAAGGTGCTCCAGGGAAAAACCTAGGTCACTCCTAGGACTTGAAATGTGGCCAGAACACCAGGGTGCGAACTACTGTAGCTCCTGAGGCAAAGTTTAGAGACCACTCCCTTGCCTCAGTCCCCAGCAGCCCACAGCCCCCTGTGATAGCTCAGCAGTTCCTGGCACCAAGCCCATCCATAAAATAGCCACCGAAAGTTTCCTTACGTGCTAACCTGCTGCCCTTTGTCCCCATCCTGCGACCTGTCCCCACATCCCATCTGGTTCCTCAGCCCCTCCAGTGCTCACTCCCGGGCCTCTCTCCAATGCACCCTCTTCCCTGAGCCTTCCGCAGAGGCAGGCAGTCTTCCCTTGGCTTTCAGTACCCCGCCCATCCCTCCGAGATAGATGCCTCTCATCCAAGCAGTGGCCCAGCCCACGCTCCAGAACTCCTAGGAGCCTGCCTCACAGCTCTCCTGAGAAAGATGAATCTGTTCCCTCACCCTGGGTCCCATGAAGATAGTGAAGAAAAAGAGGAGATCCCGGGAGCTCAAGGACAATGACAACAGTAACAACTAGCATTTATCCAGCTTCACATGTGTCCAATTTTGTGTTAAGTGCTTTGAACAAACATGATCTCACTTAATCCTTACAACACCTCAGGAGGTAAGCACTATCCTTCCCATTCTACAGATGAGATATGCAAGCTCAGAAGTTTAAGTATTCAAGGTCACACTGCCCCAAAGTGAGGTCTCCAGGTCTATGTGACAACACAGCCTGCCTCTTAACCGCGGGTCTCTGTCCCTCCTGGCTCCATCCACTCCCTCTTCTCCCTTGGCAAGGACCGGGTGTTGGGGGGGGGGGGAAGCCTCAAGTGGGAGCTGAGTGCTCGGCTCTGCCCCCTGGAGAGGGGGCCTGGGCAGTGCTGAGGCTCCTCCAGGGCCACAGTGGGGGAAGCTGTTAGATGTGGTGGACTTCCTCAGCTCACACCTTCCCGAGGAGGAGGCCCCTTACGGCCCAACGGCATGAAACCCCCTCAGAGGGGAGGTCACCCACCCCTCCTAGAACAGGGGATGCCATCACAGTCCGGTCTGGGAAGCCACCAGATCTTGTCTAAGCGCAGGCTGCCGGCATTGCCAGATCAAAGAGGTACTGGAGGGTGGGTCCTAAGAGCCATCCTCATTCCTCCTCAGCCGCCTTCAATACAAATCTTTAGCCAACTGTTCTTCTTTCTGGAGCTGGCTAAGTGCCCCTTTCACCTGCAAACACGCTCACCGAATCTCTCCTCCTCCAGGTGTCCCACCTTGTGGCTGGCTTCCCTTCACAACTGTGCTCTGGAAACTCAATCCCTGGGGCCCCTCCCTTCCTCCCGTCTTCCCCCCTCGGGGCTCCACACTGGGTCACCCCTGACCTGAGGGTTCCAGTGACTCGGTGACGCGGCTCCCCACCCTGAACCCCTCTTCCGGAGCGCAGGCTGCTTCCCCTCCCCCTTCCACCTGGGGGGGGGGTGGGGAAGTCATTTCAGGGGCCCGGGTCCTCGCGGCCCCAGCTCGGGGAACCCAGCCAGGCCTGCACCGGTCGGACGGCGGGTCCCCAGCGCGGGCCCGAGAGCGCAGCCCTCATCGCGGACGACAGCAGGGACGCGCTCACCTCCGGGACCCGAGGCCCAGGTCCCCGGGCGGTCCCGGCCTCTCCCGCGCAACGCCCCCGGCCGGGGAGGTGGACGGTCCCCGCGGGCGGGGTGGGGGCGGGGGCCGGGGCCGGCGCGGGGGCGGGGGCGGGGGCGGGGGCAGGGGGCGCCCCTCCGGCCGCCGCCCCTTACCGATGGTGGAGATGTGCGAGGAGTGGAACTCGTTGTCGGTGAAGCGGCACAGCAGGCAGGTCTTGCCCACCCCGGAGTCCCCGATCAGCAGCAGCCGGAACAGCACATCGTACTGCTTCGCCATGGCGGGGCCGCGCGGGCCGGGGGCTGCCGGGGGCTGCCGGGGGCGGCGGGGGGCGGCGGGGGGCGGCGGGCTCAGCCCCGCTCGGCCGCTGCCATCGCGGCGCGCGCCCGCCCGGGGACGCCGCGGGCTGCGAGGAGGAAGCGGCGCCGGGCCCCGCGCCGGCCTCGCCCGCTCGCTCGGGCTCGGCTCGGGCTCGGCTCGGCTCGGCTCGGGGCCGGGGAGCGCGGCGCGGCGGGAGCGCGGGTGGGAGGAGAGAGCGCCGGCGGCCCCCGCCCGCCCCTTCCCCTGCGCCGCCGCCGCCGCCGCCGCCCGCGTCCCGGGGGAGGGGGAGGGGGAGGGGGCGGGGAGCGCGCCGGGGCGCGGCGACCCCGGGCGGAGGCGGGTGCGCGGCGGGGGCTGCAGCCCAGCCTCCCCCCGGACCCCGGCCCCGGGCGCCGGGCCGCGACCCCGCGGAGACCCTGCGGACGTGCGGCGGCCGGAGCTGCGGGGAGCCCCACCCGGCCCGCCTCCGCCTCCGCCAGACTCGGCTTTCGGGGCTCCGCGCCGCTCCCCGGATCGCGTCCCGATCCCCGCCCCGCTGACCCCGCCCCTGCGGGAGCGCGGCCGGGCCTCCGGGAGTGGGTCCTCGCCTGGGCTCGCCCCCCCCCCCCCGCCTCCCTTCCTTCCCCCCGGCCGGGAGGCCTCGGTCGGGGTCTGCAGGCCAACACCCACCTATCCCTGAAGTCGCTGTCTCCGGGAACACTCGAGAGCGTTGCTAGAATTCTCTCCCTGCCATCTGGCTTCCCCGTAACCCCGTGTGACTGTGTCCGCCCTCATCCCAGCTTTAATCTAAACGGGTAAAATTTCTGCTGACCTCCTCTGCTAGGATGAGAAGAGAGATGGTCAGAAAAACACTTCCAAATGCACAATCCTGCGGGCAAGCAAAAGCACCTATTCTGGGTCTAAGCTGCTTGGGATGGGTGCTCAGGATGCCAATGCGTGATGTCAGACCACCGAGTATTCCTGCTGGTGTGCACCGGTGACACCGAAGAACGGATGGGCCTCTCTCAAGACTTGACAGACCACAAATGAATGTGTTAGCACCAGAGAGAGGCAAATGTGTGTTTTCTGGAACCTAGAAGTTTGTGTATTCCTAAGAAACAGTATTAGGGGTGAACAAGCCCAGCCCAGTAGATCTTTAAAAAGTGATGAAAGGCGTGCTTCTGAGTATTGGATAGAGAATATATTTTTCAGTAGTAGGTTAAGGAAAGCAGTAAGTCCATCTTCTTGGTTTGAAGAGTTGTATTTCAGGCTGTATGTCTAAATTTAAAATAAAGAGGAAAAACTCCTGAAACTGGTAGCTACTTTGACGACGTGAAAAGTTAAGAAAATGGACCCTGTGAATTCCATTAAGATTTTTAAGATTTCCAGGTGTATTTCTCTTTACTGGATTTACACTGGGTTTCAGGTGCATATGAGGGTCTCTGGAGTTGGGCACACTTGGGTTCCAGCCACAGCTCCTTCACTCACATGCTGTACAGCCTTGACCATGTTATTGTACCCCTCTATGCCTCAGTTTCCTCATCTGTAAAAATAGGAATATCCTTTCAGGATTGTTGGAAAGATGAAATAATGTGTGGAAAGGACTTAGCACAGCACATGACAGTACTCAATAAATGCTGAGGGACAGAGACCACCCTGTAATGTTTCCCATATGCATACATGGCTGGTAAGTGTATCCCACAGAGGCTCAGGGATGTCTTCCAGGAACTCAGGCCATCCTGCTGTGATACTCATCCACACTACCACACAAAGTGTGGAGTGCAGGTTCAACTCAGCCTGACCCCCTTTGGGCACTGCAGCTGCCTTCCCATTGATGGGCATCGTCATGATAAATACTCTGCAGGTCTACTTAGTGGGACTATTAGGGGCTCTCTACTTGTTTCTGTCCAGGAAACAGGAAAGATGCACCCTGAGGCAAGTTCCTAGTCCAAGAAGAAACTTCACTTTGAAGGAAATAACTTCCCCAGGCAAGACGGGAAAGAGAGTGAGGTTTCCTGAATGAATCCAGGAAGTAAATACACTCATAAAAAAAATAAGGATATTTCATCATGCTGGGCAGACATCAAATCCATTAGCTTATGTTGCTTTAAAAAAAGAAAAAAGGAATCATATGGCAGTCCAAGCTGCTAGACACCTAGGTTGTCCATTCACATCCTGGCTCTGCTACTTTCAGAAATACATTTCTGTGTGTGTGTGTGTGTGTGTGTGTGTGTGTGTGTTTCACACTGTGAAATGGAAGAGCTGAGATTTTGGGACAGTGTTAGCAAAAGAACCATGTAAACTCGTGAGGACAACAAAATTTGCTTTAACCAGGGGCTTTATACACACCTAATTTCATCTCCTTATGTCAGCATCCAGTGGGACATTCTGGCATCCTCCCTAGTTGAGGTCAGCTTGCACTAGGACAGGTTTCAGCAGGGCTGGGAGACGTCCGAGAACGGTTGCTGGATTTCCCTCTCACAAGAAGCCCCCAAGAATCAGTTTCTCAGTTATGTTATACTCATTCTTTTACCAGGGAGAGACAAGTGCCTGCCCCTGCTTCCTGCCACCCCCAGCCCAGACACTGAGCGTGTTCCCTGTTTAAACAGTCAGCAGGGGCACCACTGTGGGATCTACCATGGCCACAGTGGAATAACCAGAGTGTTGGCCCATAGGCAGCCCACCGCTGAGACCAACACAGCTCCTCACGAGCAAAACCCTTACACATCTTACAGACTTACACTTGTGTTTCCAACTTTGGGTGACAAAGCTGATGTGCTCACTTTATAGGATTTTCACTCCCTTCCTCGTCACTTCAGTATGTCCTCCATTCATATCCTCTTTTTTAAGATTTTATTTTTATTTTTTAATTTTTTTAAAGATTTTATTTATTTATTTATTCATGAGAGACAGAGAGAGACAGAGACAGAGAGGCAGAGACACAGGCAGAGGGAGAAGCAGGCTCCATGCAGGGAGCCCGATGTGGGACTCCATCCCAGATCTCCAGGATCAGGCCCTGGGCTGAAGGCAGTGCTAAAACCGCTGAACCACCTGGGCTGCCCTAAGATTTTATTTTATTTTATTTTTTTTATAAATTAATTTTTATTGGTGTTCAATTTACCAACATACAGAATAACACCCAGTGCTCATCCCGTCAAGTGTACCCCTCAGTGCCCGTCACCCATTCACCCCCACCCCCCACCCTCCTCCCCCTCCACCACCCCTAGTTCATTTCCCAGAGTTAGAAGTCTTTATGTTCTGTCTCCCTTTCTGATATTTCTCACACATTTCTTCTCCCTTTCCATATATTCCCTTTCGCTATTATTCATATTCCCCAAATGAATGAGAACATACACTGTTTGTCCTTCTCCGGTTACTGTGGCCAAGTTCAAAAAGGGTGTTGCCTGAGTTCTTCTCTGGGATTTTGATGGAATCTTGTCTCACATTTAGATCTTTCATCCATTTTGAGTTTATCTTTGTGTATGGTGCAAGAGAGTGGTCCAGTTTCATTCTTCTGCATGTGGATGTCCAATTTTCCCAGCACCATTTATTGAAGAGACTGTCTTTCTTCTAGTGGATCGTCTTTCCTCCTTTATCGTATATTAGTTGAGCATAAAGTTCAGGGTCCACTTCTGGGTTCTCTGTTCTGTTCCATTGATCTATATGTCTGTTTTTGTGCCAGTACCACACTGTCTTGATGAACACAGCTTTGTAGTACAACCTGAAATCTGGCATTGTGATGCCCCCAGATATGGTTTTCTTTTTTTAAAATTCCCCTGGCTGTTTGGGGTCTTTTCTGATTCCACACAAATCTTAAAATAATTTGTTCTAAGTCTCTGAAGAAAGTCCATGGTATTTTGATAGGGATTGCATTATACGTGTAAATTGCCCTGGGTAACATTGACATTTTCACAATATTAATTCTGCCAATCCATGAGCATGGAATATTTTTCCATCTCTTTGTGTCTTCCTCAATTTCTTTCAGAAGTGTTCTGTAGTTTTTAGGGTATATTTTGAGAACCATTTGAATGGTAAATGGTTCTCCAACCTTTTATTTTCAGGTTGTAGGTGTCCTTCTGTCTAAAATGAGTCTCTTGTAGACAGCAAATAGATGGGTCCTGTTTTTTTATCCAGTCTGAAACTCTGCGCCTTTTGATGGGGTCATTAAGCCCATTCACGTTCAGAGTTACTTGAACTTCTTCTTAAAGGGGAGTTTTAAGAGTCCCCCTTAAAATTTCTTGCAGAGCTGGTTTGGAGGTCACATATTCTTTCAGTTCCTGCCTGTCTTGGAAGCTCTTTATCTCTCCTTCCATTTTGAATGAGAGCCTTGCTGGATAAAGTATTCTTGGTTGCATGTTCTTCTCATTTAGGACCCTGAATATATCCTGCCAGCCCTTTCTGGCCTGCCAGGTCTCTGTGGAGAGGTCTGCTGTTACCCTAATATTCCTCCCCATGAAAGTCAGGGACTTCTTGTCTCTTGCTGCTTTAAGGATCTTCTCTTTATCTTTGGAATTTGCAAGCTTCACTATTAGATGTCGAGGTGTTGAACGGTTTTTATTGATTTTAGGGGGGGATCTCTCTATTTCCTGGATCTGAATGCCTGTTTCCCTTCCCAGATTGGGAAAGTTTTCAGCTAGGATTTGTTCAAATACATATTCTGGCCCTCTGTCCCTTTCGGCGCCCTCGGGAACCCCAATTAAACGTAGGTTTTTCTTCCTTAGAGTGTCATTTATTTGCCTTAATCTGTCTTCATGGTCCCTTAATTGATTGTCTCTTTTTTCCTCAGTTTCCCTCTTTGCCATTAACTTGTCTTCTATGTCACTCACTCGTTCTTCCACCTCGTTAACCCTCGTCGTTAGGACTTCTAGTTTGGATTGCATCTCATTCAATTGATTTTTAATTTCTGCCTGATTGGATCTAAATTCTGCAGTCATGAAGTCTCGTGAGGCCTTAATGCTTTTTTCTAGAGCCACCAGTAGCTGTATAATGGTGCTTCTGAATTGGCTTTCTGACATTGAAGTGTAATCCAGATTTTGTAACTCTGTGGGAAAGAGGGCTGTTTCTGATTCTTTCTTTTGAAGTGAGGTTTTCCTTCTAGTCATTTTGCTCAGTGCAGAGTGGCCAAAAACAAGTTGTATTGGAACACGGGGGAGTATCACTGGTCCCTCTAGCTGGTCTTCTGGGGGAGGGGCCTGCTGTGCTGATTTTCAGGTGTTAGCACTTGGGGGAGCTGCTCTGCCCCTGCCTGCTGCA